TTCTACTTAATGCTGAAAGAGGGGAAATTTAGGTAGGAATTGTTCCCTGTGAGGGTGGGGAGGCCCTGGCACAGGTTGCCCAGGGAAGCTGTGGCTGCCCCATCCCTGGAAGTGTCCAAGGCCAGGATGTAGCTCCAGGCAATACTTTTAAAATAAGCATATCACTGTTAAAAGAATTTATGATGTTTAGTTTTCCAGTCAGCCATTCCAGAATCAAAATAGATGCCGTGAAGAGCTGTCAAAGTCAATTTTGACTGCAAATTCTCATTTCTTAGCAGCCTCCACTGAACAGAAAATCCCTCAAGTGAGGTTAAACACGGAACACTTTTTCGGGATGAAATGGGCCAGATTTAAAATAAAAATGACGCTTCAATCCAGCAAATAACTATTCTCCACCACACACCCGAGGGCCTGATGAGCTACAGAGCATCACAGACCCACAGCCTTCAAAGAGCTGCCCTTCCCCAGGGACCCCACTGCTGGGGGTGGGGGGGCTCCGTGGGCCCTGGGCTCCCAGGGAAGAAGGACAGGCATGGAAAATCCTTGGCACTTGGGGGTACCTCTGTTTACCTCTTCCAGCATAAGCCCAGGATCAGTTTGAAACCACATCATGACTCATATCACAACAGCTTCATTCCAGAGCAATCTCAGTAATTGCATTTATATTCTAGGGGAGATGTGACCAAGACACACGATGACTCCCCAGGTGTGGGGCTGCACATCCCTCACAGACTGTCTGAGCACTTGGCAATCACCAGGGACACTCCTCTGCATGCTGATCCAGCCAAGAAGGACTTGGGAAGCAACTGGAAAGCCTCTGGAAGCAGCACACTGTGCCCAGCCCTGGGAGGGGAGGTCCTGCCCAGCCCAGCCTCCCTGGCTCCTGCTGTGACTGGAGCTTTGAACCAGCCCCAGTGGTGTCAATGCCCAGCTGGGTCTGAGAGCAAACCCAGAGCTCACACACAGCTCCAGGGATTGGCCTTTCCAAAGGAATTCAGTAAGGATTGGAGATGCACTCACTGCCCAAAGCAGTGCACAGGGCCAGCCTGGGGACACCGAGAGGAATTCCAGAGGAATGCAGAGGCCAAGGTCAGGACAGGTTCCTGCTGAGTTGCTCCTCCCTGCCCTCACCCCTGAGAGCCTGGTGCCCAGCACACAGCGAGGGGGGAACCTTGTGCTGCCTGGAGATCTGGGAAGGGAGGGAGAACAGAGCTGTGGAGCCCTGCACTGGGAGGCTCCAAAGCCCAAGGGACTAATCCAGGTCTTTCAGATATCACAAGTACTTCGGTCACTGGACTGCCTTTTCCTGCTGCCCTGGATCAGGAGAAAAGTGCAGCAGGCATTTCTGCAGCACCAGCTGTGGCTCTCCAGAACATTGACTTTCCCTGCCTTGTTCAGTGATGGACAAGCCACCTTGACCCAGCTACCACACAGAGCTTTTCAAGCCTTGTATTTTCATCAGTCTCTCCAGCAGAGAAGTCCTGTTTGTCACTCCCAGGAAGCAATTTAAAGCATTATAAACACAAGTTTAAACACAAACTCTGTGCATCACAAGCAGAAATTGATACAGTCCCGTCAGGGCTCAGCTCTGTGTCCATACCTACCACAAATAAGTTACCAGCATAAACAAGTGTCAATTTACAACCGAGTTGATGTTTTCCTGCTATCCCTGCTTTGTTTTTAATACAGTGTATTGTTTCCTGCTGGTTTTCGTTTTGTACTCCTGGAAGAACAAATCAAAGCAGCAAGCAGAGCTGCAGCAGCCAGAGCCGCCAGCCCAGCCAGAGCAGGAGTGCTCCGGGGAGGGATGGGGAACAGAGCCTGGTGCAGAGGAGCTCTGGCAGGACCAGTGCAAGCCCAAGCCATCCCTGACCATAGCATTTTCACAGCTTTTCTGAACCAAATTTTAAAATCTGCTCAAAGAGTCTGAATGGCCAATTTGCTTTTTCTAGGACTTGGATGACAACGTTACTTGTGTGCCTTTGCAGACAGCAATGCCTCATATTATTTCCACTATTACATGGAGAAAATTAATGTTAGAAATCCATGTGAGCTCCTAATTATTTTATTTTCAAATGCTTGTGCTTTTTTTTTCCAGTTTTTTGTTTAAAAGTGATTTCTCCACATATTAAGGCGTCTTCTATCTCTCTCCTTCTCATCTCCTTCCTTTAACAATTTCATCTTCACATGGCTGCCCTTTCCTCTTTCCCATTTCATTTGCAATAATACTTTGAGTGGCCCCTTCTCCCCCTCGACTGCTTTGTTCCATTTCCCTCCAGCCCAGCCATCATCACCCTTCCTGACTCTGGCCCTCGGATGCTCCAGGTCATCCCGATGTTCATGAAGAGCTTCACACCTCAAATCAGCCTTTCTGCCTGAGCTGGGAGTTGACATAATGGCCCTGATTCAAATACAATAAAACCAATTTGAACACTCTGTAAGGACTAAATTGAAACTGGAGCTGGGGCAATTTACACCACCAGAGATATTAGGAATCTTTTTTCCTGTGACTCAGAGACTCAATTCAAGCAACATTTCTACCTTTGCTGATATAAGTTCTCATCTATGAGAAATCAGTGAAACATTCTGAAGGCTGAATAGTCATTTCTTCAGGCCCTCAGTGCACAGCACCACAGTAACCAGATCAGCACCTTCCATACCTGGGCTAAGCCTGAAGGAGTGGCCAAAGCCCCAAAGAGAGGGACAAACCCCCTGAGTGCACACAGAATTGTGAGAAATAGCTATTAATGGTTGGTAGTAATTTTTCCCCAATATCAAAGGCTTTCTTGTTCCTCTAATTGCCCTAGAGCAGCAGGAATTCCTGGCTGATGGAGTCACAAGTACCAAGTGAGCTCACACATCACCACGAGGGCAGCCACAACACTCAGGAAAAGCCAGTCCTCAAAAATTGTTCACTTGTGGTTCCACAGCAGCAAGTGGTCACTGGGTTCTCCCATGGGGAAAAGAAGGTTTTGCAAACTTTTTTGGAGCCATTTTTAATTTTAGAGTAAAGAGGATTGCTCAGCTCACATGTTGGCAAAGGTTATTTTTGTGCTACCAGGCAAACCTGTGGGTAGAGATGCTGAAAATGACTCAGAAAACACTTTTGTTAGTTGTTAGATCTGGTGGCCAGAATTAACTTTTGATCGTTTGTTTGTTCCTTTTTTAAATGGTTATTGAATATCTCCATCTTCAAAAGCTTTATTGGGATCCACCCCCAGTGGTGGGAAGCAGGAGACTACCAGGTGCTGGTGCTCAGGGATCCCAACACAGGCATTGGAATCACCCACGTTATGGGTCTCCCCTTTTCCAGGAAAGCCTTCCCATGGCAGCTTCTGGTAATGGATTTGTGAACAATTTTTAAGTTAGATACTTGTTTTAACATAGCTGCACTAATGAACATTCTGCATATAACTATGTATATAATAATAAGAACCATCATCACTTGAGAATAAAATAATAAGAAGCTCGGTTTTCCTTACCTTTTTGGAAAGCAGGCAAAAGCTATACAGTAGGTGGAAGAGTGTACCAAGTAACAGACTTTTGAACACTCTTTCTTACTGGTGGTATGCAGTCTGAGGGAAAGTAAATACATTGGTCTGTAGGATCTGTGCACAGCAAACTCTTCACAGCTGCCCTGCCATGAGCCCGTGACACTAATCCGGCTGCAGAGCTCGGATTAGAGCAGTGCAAAGCTGAGAGCACCAGCACAGGAATGAGCTCTGGGTAGGCAACAAATGAACCAGTCACAGAGTCCAGGTACCTCTGAACATGGGAGCAGCTGCTCACACAACAGCAGCTCTGGTTGGTTATTTTTTTTCCTTCCTCTCCCCTGAACGAATTCTGGGACATTTTGGCTTTAGTTTCAGTTCTCCCAGTCCCTCCTCACCAACACAGCCACTCATAGGCTCCTCAGCATCATCAACAACCAGATTAGTGTTTTCCTACGTGCCCTCAGTGGTGTTAAGGGTGAAGAGCAGTGAACAAACAGGACATGCTTGATCCACAGGCACCATCCACAGGTTAATGATGGGAACCCACAAGCTCAGTGTTCATTCTCGAGGATGGAGAAGAGTGAGGATGGACACAGAGTGCCCTCAGTGCCCCTGGGATGGACACAGAGTGCCCTCACTGCCGCTGGCATGGAAGGGGCTGGCAGTGCTCAAGAAAGCGCTGTCAGAACACAGACCATGCAAACAGTGCCTGGTGGGATGATGCTGTGACTGCACCTCCCCACTAAAAACTCAATCAGCTGCCAACTAAGTTCTACTTAATGCTGAAAGAGGGGAAATTTAGGTTAGAATTCTTCCCTGTGAGGGTGGGGAGGCCCTGGCACAGGTTGCCCAGAGAAGCTGTGGCTGCCCCATCCCTGGAAGTGTCCAAGGCCAGGTTGGACGGGGCTTGGAGCAACCTGGGATGAGGTTAGGGTTAGGGAAGGTGTCCCTGCTTTGATGTCCCTTCCACCCCAAGCCATTCTGCAGCTCTGTGAAGGCAGACACTGCTGGCCCAGCCCATGGCAGGCACAGCCTCCTCACTGCCAAGGCCCCGGGCGCTGATTGCCATCGCTCTGTCGGGTGAAGCCATGAATTAAAACAAGCTGCTTGGGAAAAGGAGTAATTACATGTAAATCTCAATATAAGTTAAGTATGGGTTGGAGGTTCAAATGTTTCTCTCCCAGTCTGACACTCTGCTCCTGCAGCACAAACAGGAGCAGACACAGCCCAGCAGAGCATTCACTGTCTGCTCCAGCTCGCACTCGAGAAGCGCCTTCTCAAACAGGGGGAAATCCAGCCAAAGACACACGAGAGCAGGATGAACTCATGTGGACAAAGCTGCTGGGCACCAAATTCTGTTCGTCCAAACCTGCAGCAAACATGCATCAGGGGGGCAAAGCTGTGAAAGGAGTGGAAGCATGAACGTGCCAGATGGCAAACGGGAATGATTAAGAGACATTTCCTAGATTGAAAACCTTGGCCTTAATATATCACATCCAGCAGGAAAGCCCTCCCACAGCATGGCTGGGGAGCTCAGCTTGTGAAACTTCTGATTTCCCACAGATCCTAAGAAAATCTGGAACACGGAGAGTCCCTATTCCACAGTAAGTGGGCTGTGAGGTCACTGCACTTGGAGTGATTCTCCTCCCATGTTAATCAGTCTCTTCTTTTATACTCACACTGAACCCCCAGTGTGTGAGTCCAGCTCTCCCAAGTGCTCTGCACGTTTGTTTCGGAGCCTGAATTCCTGCAGATGCCCCCAGAGTTGTGTGCAGAGGCTGCACATGATGCTCATCATCACTGCTGAGGACCACCTGCTCCTGGGAAGCCACTCAGGATATTTATAGGCCTTCCAGCTTTACAAGCACATCTTCAGTTCATTATCTCAGAATGGTTTGGGTTGGAAGGGACCTTCAAGATCACCCAGTTCCAACCCCCTGCCATGGGCAGGGACACCTTCCACTAGCCCAGGTTGCTCCAAGCCCCATCCAATCTGGCCTTGGACACTTCCAGGGATGAGGCAGCCACAGCTTCTCTATTCTTTTCAAATCTGCTAAATCATGGAGATTTTTTCAAGGCTCTTTTTCTGTAAAACCATCCACATCTGCTTTTGGTTTGACTCTGGCATGTGAGTAGGACAGGCCATAAATCTGGGCTCAGTCACCAAATTGCCCCATGTCTGGAGGTACGTGAATCCCATGCTGGTGGCTCCGTGCTAGTTGGTTCTTGGGAGATGTGAAAGATTTGTGTCTTTCCAATAGAAATGGCAACTCCAGTCTCCAGCACCTGAGCAAGCAACAGCAGCACTGGGAAACGGAATAGAAAATCAAACTGGAAAACCCAACTGTACTTTTCCACCTGTGAACGGCCCTGGCAGCGAGGCCAGCCCAGCCCCAGGTTTGCTCTGCGCAGTGTTGAGGAGTCTCTGGCTCAGCCTTTAACCCCCTTCCATTGATTTCCCTTCCTCCTGCCCACGGGAGCTCCAGAGGAGCCTGGCAGGGAACCAACAAGCAGAACTTCCCACCCTGGGGCTGCTCCCAGGGCAGGCCCCAGCCAGGACAGGCCATCGTTGGCCATCGCTGGGGAGCAAAGCAATTGTACAGAGAGACACTGCAAAGACATCCTCTGGTGTTCTTTTGAAAGAAGATACTTGGGATTTTAAAAAAAGTAGGTAAATGCTCCTTGTGTTGATGCATCTGGGGCAATTTTTTATCCATATTTCCTATTTTCCAATTCGTAAAACTCTGAAAGTTTCCTTATTGGCTGCATAAAATATTTTTTCAAAGTTAAATTGCTATAAAAGCATCAAAACCATCTTTAAGTATGGACACTCTGATCAGGGCATCAATCAGTAACCTATTGAACACTACAGGAAACCTCCAGTGACTGCAGTAGTTACACTGGGACCCAAACATTTTAAGTACAGTAGTTTATTTCATTTGATTTTCTAATAATAGTTTTTATGAACACACATACCCAGGGAATGAACTAGGAGTGGTAGGTGCAGCTGATAAATGAACAGATGGAACTCTAGATAAATAATTAAAAGGTTTAAAAGAAAATGTATTTTCCAAACCATAAAAAAAAAGTAAAAGGCCAGTACTTAAGAAAAACATAGGAATTAATATATTGAACATTTCCTGGCTGGCAGAGTTAACAAATGAATTTATATTCTAGTCTATAGCCCTAGATGAAAAATGTTGTATTTTAGCAGAAACATGGGGGTTAAGTGGGCAATATTTCTTTTCAATAAACATAACTCCTTCCCAGGGAAAAATCTGGTTGTTCTTTGGTGGGAAGGGGAAATACTGTCAGAAGTCTGAGATCAACAATAAGATGCAGCACAAAATGAGACCAGGAGGGGACATCCCCAACTAGGGTTCCCACAGGGTTCTGCCTCCACACTGAATTGCAGCATCACAACTGGGGTACTTTTCTTGTGGTTCAAGTTTTGAGAGGAAATTTTTTGATGTTTTGAGTTTTCTGGAGGAGAAACTAATTGCAACTCATTTGACCCAAACAGTGATTGATGAAGTGCAGCAGCAACACACGTTGCCCTGCCCTGTCCCAGCTGACTTAAAATTCTCTTCTCCTTCCTTCCCTTCCTCGGCAGAGGACCCTGACTGTCACTGGGTAACACTCCAATGCAGGAGTTCCATTTATTTCCTCCTGCACTGAGGGCTCTGCTCAATATAACTGGAAGAGGCCAAATATGGTCCTTAATTTACGAGAACCATTTCCTCCCTGTCTCAGGTCGGAGTCTCACAGAGTTCAGCTTCCAAAGCCAACTTCAGTGTTCCCAGTTAGAATATCCTTTGTACACCTGCATGATGAGACATCAGAGAAAGGCACTCCTGGGGTGAGTATCGGGAGGCAAAGTGCTGTGTCAATGGTTTGCTGCCTGTTCCCACTCTGCTCTGGCAGCAGAGCTGCTCCAGGCAGATCTTCCAGCAGCAACTGGGAGACGAGAAGTGGCAGCGGCTCCGGCAGCCGACGGATGAGCAGATCCCGGGCAGGGAGAGGGCATTTCTCCACATCCAGATCTGTTTTGCACAAAAACTGCAGACGTGCCCAAACCTTCCCAATATGCTGCAGAGCCGTGCAGCTGTCTCCTTCCTCAGCCCCTTCCAGATTCAAATGCAAATCAAATTTGATGGCCTCAGTCTGTAATTTCGTGCTGCGCAATCCCCTGCTATGCACATTAGGGAAACTGGAAGCGTCTTTTCCATCTATTTTCCTTTAAAATCGCTGGCAAGATTTGCATTAGGGCCGGATAAAATCCCTAAATGGGAATCTTCAAGGACTGTGACAGTTTTGCAAAGAAACTTTGCACGAAAGCAGATGATAACTCGGGTTAGCAGAGTTATCAATGAGTTTGGTCCTTGTCCCTCCATCTGCCCTGGAACCTGCCCCGGCCACGGGGAGTTGGGCACAGGCTGAGGGGTTCGGTGCCCAAGGGTGCTGCTGATCTCACTCACAGAGGAGGGAAAGGAGGAGGAGGAGGAGCTGCTCACAGCTACCAAACACACTGGGAGGAGTCGCTGCCAACCGGCACAGCTCAAAAACGCGGGGAGGAAATAAAGAATTAAAAGAAACATGAGACTTCCAAAACCTGCAATGGAGGCGGCCGAGGAGCATGAAGGCCCTGCCCGCGGGTGCCAGCCCGTGCCCCCTGCCCCATGCAGCCCCGGGGGGCCGTACTCACTGTTGGGGTCCACGCTCTCGCACAGCTCCGTCTTGGCCTCGCCGTTGGGGCGGTCGCTGGGCTTGTGGGACAGCCGGGAGGACATGGTGGCCGCCGTCACCACCGCCTTGAAGCTGCGCTTGCGCTTCTGCACGTTGAGCTCGGGGTGGAAGATGATGATGTAAACCTTGGGCATGTAGAGCATCCCCAGCGCCACCGACGCGCTGAGGTTCATGGATATCGTGAGTGTGGTGGTTTGTATGTAGAGCTGGGGGACACAACAAGGAGACACTGTTACACACCAGGGCACTGCGGGGGAACAGCAGCTCAGACATTAAATAACCCCTGACCAGCAGTTTGGAACGAGTTTGCAACCCAAGGGGTGTGAGCTGAGAGCTCTGCACTGCAAACACCACGAGGTCCAGCACAAATCACCTGCCTGAGCCATCAACAGCCTCTGTGAGGCTCAGTCCTACAGACTTCACTGTCCTTACCAACACAATTCCCACAGTATGGTACAGTACAGCTTCTGTCTCTTTGTTTGGATTGAAATAATTCTGATATAAATTAAAACTTATGCCAACTGTAAGTTACAAAAGGGGAACTATAACAACATAGCTAGTAACACTTTCTTGCTTTTAAAAACATTGAGGAAAGTGGGATTTTCTCAATTTTCCTGTACTTTAATTCTCTACAGTTCATTGAAACAACTTTGCAGAGAGTACACAGTGGTTTCTGTGCTCGTGACATTCAGTTATGCTCTTTATTAAGAAAAAATAGCATATTTTTAAGTCAGACAGTGGGTACATCCTGAGCACCTCACCAGCCACAGGCTCCCTGACGTGGTTTTCCATGGGCTGCTCCAGTGGGGAACTGGCCTTACTGGGAGGTGACTCACCCTGGGGAGGGTTTGACCCAACATTTTCACCTCAGTCCTGGGCTGCTGCAAAAGCTGGAGCAGCAGAGCCCCAGGAAGGGGTTTCTCCAGCACACACGGGTGTTAATTTTTCTTTCTTGCTGCAGTGAAGGGGTCGAAGGTGAAACGATTATTTAATCAAAGGGGTCTTTTGCAGCACCTCCCAGCCAAGTTCCCACCTTGGAAATGCTGATGGGAGATAAAAGGAAAGGGAGAAAGGAGCGTTTGTAGAACAAGGCAGGCTGAGTGACACACAATGCTGCTCATGACAAATGGGAGCTGTGCAAAGATAAGGGAACTAATAGATATGCTTATTATGCAGAGCCTCAGTTTTATGTGTTTTATCTCTGCTTTGTGGTTTTACCAGTCAGACATAAAAATGCAGTTTACGTGAAACTATTTCATTTCTTATTTCACTTCTTCTGATAAACTCTGGAAAGCGCTTTAGATGAATGCAAATGGGTGACTTCAAGTACAAAGGATCAGATTCAACCCACAATGGGACTCTAATAACTCACGCGTGCCTTTTACAGTGGGCTGGTGAGCCTGGCAGCTCCCAGACCTGAGATTAAATTAAGAAATTAAGATGCAGATTTAGTGGGAGATGCTCCAGTTTGACATGAATGAGAACTGGGATCGAGCTGATCCAGCCTGGAGGAGAGAAGGCTTTGGGGCGACCTAATGGGACCTTGCAGTGCCTGAAGGGAGCTCAGGGGAAAGGAGAGAGACTGTTAACAAGGGTCTGGAGTGCCAGGACAAGGGGGACTGGCTTCCCACTGCCAGAGGGCATTTTGGGATGTTGGGAAGGAATCCTTCCCTGGGGAGGTGGTGAGGCCCTGGCACAGGTTGCCCAGAGAAGCTGTGGCTGCCCCATCCCTGGAAGTGTCCAAGGCCAGGTTGGACGGGGTTTGGAGCAACCTGGGACAGTGGAAGGTGTCCCTGCCCAGGGCAGGGGGTGGCACTGGATGGGCTTTGAGGTCCCTTCCAACCCAAACCATTCCAAGATTCTAATTGTTACCCCTGAGAAATGAAGGCTTTCTAAAAACAATGGGATGTTGGTCTGTGCAAGTCCCCTCCCATGGAGGGTTTGAAGCCACATTTCCCATGACAGAAGGACAAAGTCATTCTGGAGGATCACCCTCACTCACATCTCCTTCTTTCTCAAGCAGATTCTGAATTTTGACAGATTTTGACTTCCCACACTGTTACAAATGCATGGACTTTGAAGCAGGCACTGGAGAAAACCCAACCCTGAGGACATCATTCACATGCAAAAGCACCCAGATTTTATCACTTCTTTTACATAAGTGATTTCCATTTGAATTTTAGATTTCTGTGTTTTCCAGATTCTTGCTTTATTCATGCAAATGAAAAAAATTACCTTCAAAACCTTGAGAGAAAATTAGACTGGTCTGGAACATACACATCTAATAACCAGCAATTTTTACAGGACAAATTATATCAATGGATGATTTTGCATGAATGTGATTTCTCTGGGAAGAAAAGCACTGCAGGATCAGGCCTCTGACTCTTTGCTAACCCAGTGGAAAGATTTCCAGCTGCTGGGCCATATAATAACTGAACTGATGGCTGCAAATTTAGAAAAGTCCCTTTAGGAGTCAGAAATCCTTTTTTGTACGCTAAAGCTTTGCCTTCAGTCTAATCAGGAGCAACTGCTCCTTTTCTCCAATTCAGCTTTCTAATTATGCACTGAATTGTGTTATTTTGCAATATGGAAATAAAGTGGTAACTTGAGATATTTTTGGACTCGTGTTATTACAAGCCAATTTATCTCACTTTTATATGGGAATTAAAACAAATGTTCTTACAGATGAAGTAGACAGTTTATAAATCTCCCAGAAGGCTCTTCCAGGTCATCTGAAGATTCCATCTCATTCTCTACATTATGTTGTGTAAATATAAGAACGAGAAACACTTTTTAATAAAAATGAAAATTAGCTTCCACTGCTTTATGTGCTTGTAAAAACATGGGAAGTAAAAAGTCCTGAATATCAATGTGCTCTCAGCCACCTTGGTGCCTGATGCCACTGCACAGGCTGTGTGGGGAGGGAAGGTCCTGCAGCACCACCCTGCTTTGGGCAGCACCCCCCCTCACTGACACAACCCCCAAACCAAACTCTGCTCCCGTTTCCTTGGACAGTTTGATTTGTGGAAGTTTCAGGCACAGCCGTGTCCTTGCACAAGGATTGCACTCTCTGTTGTCTGGGAAATGCAGAATGTCACACGTGTGGCAGCTCTGCCAGCTCTCTGTCCTGCCCTGGCTCAGCAATCGGGGTGGGAACAAGATGATCCTTAAGGTCCCTTCCAACCCAACCTGTTCCATCATTCTACGATGTGGTTTTACATTTACCATGACACCTTTACAGACCTTTGCCTTCCTGTGCTCCTGTGCTCCAGAGTGCCCTTGGCACAGTGGGAAACAACCCCTGTGCCCTCTGCAGTTCCAAGCCCACCTCACCTCAGGACCAACACCAAGGTCCTGTGAACAGCATTTCTGAACAGAAGGATAAACTCCCGGTTACCTTGATGGGTCAGCTGTGAAACAGCCGTGATCACGTCCAGCACTGCATGTCTGTGTGCCCAGGGAAGTGTCACCAGCCCAGGGACACTGCCAGTGTCACCAGCCCAGTGCCAGTGTCACCAGCCCAGTGCCAGTGTCACCAGACCAGTGCCAGTGTCACCAGCCCAGGGACAGCGTGGTGTCCCGAGCAGGGCAGGGTGTGAGCAGTTCTGTCCTTCCCGTTCCTGGCAGCAGGAGGCTCAGAACACCACAGGGAAATTGGGATCCTGTTCCGAGCCATCCCCCCGCAGAGCCCGTGCACAGGCAGCCAGCACACAGCAAACAGCTCCAAAAGGACTAATTTCCAATTCCCTCTGCCTGTTCTTCTGATGTCACCCTGTCAAAGCCAATGTGCATTTTCATGTCCTAAGAGCACCCAACAGATCGAGGCTTTCAGCTGGCAGTTCACAGGCAAACTGTGGAGTAAAGATGAAGTAAACTGAGGTATTTTACATATATTGAGTACTTGAGCTCAATATTTTATACAACTCGTTCCCTTATAATAGAAGCCTCCTTATGCAAGAAATTTGCATACATCAGAAATAAATATTTATGGCTTATATCTGTAATTTGTATAATAATTCAAAATAGCAAATGTTAAAGCACTTGCTCTGGGGGTTATGATGCAGATACAGAAGGAGGAGGAATTTTGTCTCTCTTGCCTGCAAGAGAAACTCAACAGCTTATCTAGAAGGAAATTAAATTAGCCAGATAACTGGACAGAGCAGCAATGGAAAAGCAAGTTGCTGCTTTCAAAGCAGCTAAAAAGAAATGGAAGCAGTATCAGAGACAGTCCCACAAGTCAGTTTATACAGCCAATATTCTGCAGAGAATCCCCAGCCTTGGAAAAAGAGCTGCCTTCGCTTTCTGCAGCAGGTACAGAGACAGCAAAGATGCCCAGGAACTGCTTGGAGTCACTTGGGAGCTGCTCAGCCAAGAAATGAGCAGTGCTGGCCCTGGCTCAGGTCACCAAAGGATTGAAGGTGTTTGGAGCAGGTGCCTCCCTGGAACTGACTCCTGAATTCCACTGTCCTTGAAGCAGAAATCTGGCACAGAAGGATGTGCAGGAAAACAGTCTGGCAAGGACAGGAACGTTTGAACTGAGCTCTGTGCACCCCCACCACTGACACAGGGGGAAGTTCTGCCTCCTGTAGTTCACCTGCACTTGTTCTGTGCTCCTGCACCCCAGCACTGCCCTGAGCCTGCTGGCCCTGGCTGGGGGGGACAATCGTGGGTCCTGCTGCAGATCCACGTGGGGGGGGCAGCCAGAGGGGGGGCAAGGCTGTGAACCCTGTGCAGGTCACAGTGAGGACAAGCCCTCCCTGCCCTGGCCCTGGGAACAGAGGTGGTGACAATGGAGAGATGGAAAACAGCTGCAGGAACCTCTCCTTACTTTTTGTCCATGCTAATTCCATGTCCATGGATGATGACCACCAGAATTTGAAATGGATGAAGTTTTCCCACAGGATCCCAGCCAAGGCTGTTACCCAGTGCGGTTCTGTCCACAACATGAGTGTCCTGAGACCCACCAAAGCACTTCTTGTGGGTCACTAAAGGGTCTTCAGTGAGAAGAAATGTCAGTCACAGCTGGGCTTGGCTGTATTTCAGGCACAGACAGGAGGGAATAGCTCCAGAAATCCCATTATTAATCCTCAGAACTGTCTAATATCTCTTGCTTGGCATTCCTGTTTGTTATAATAGCTCTAAAATAAGTTACACATCACCAAAAGAGACAAACACAAAGTGCAACAGAAGTAATGTACATCCCCAA